TTCGGTCCACTAAATTTTAATAACCTGTTACTTAAACCTATTAAACACATTATTTAAATCTATTAATCCATATTTTTATTAAACAAACATCTTAATTTTAATGATTTTATTAATAGGTTCTAGTTACTAAAATTTCAGGTATTAGGTTGAATAATAATAATTAACAACATATTCCATTTCAAATGTTCAGTTTAATAAAAATAAAAAACATGTTTTAGGAATTATGTTTTATCTAGAATAAAAAAACGTTTTATTTGGTGTTATTAAAATTTGTTTTAAATTAATTAAAATTTTGTTAGGAACTCTGTTTAATAGGACGATTTTTCTCAGTGCGTATACAAACTAATATTTATTTTACTTTTATATAAATGATGGTTTTACAGGTAATATTTTTAGTACAATATTGGGGAAGATTAAATTAACGTTATACAATAAAGGAACAATAACTATGGGGATGCCCTGTAATTTCTATAGTTATATAACACTAAAAATTTTTGAATTTATTAAAATAAGTTTAATAACGGGGAATTATTGGTATCTATTTGGTCATTAAGAATAATATCAGTTTTTTTCTTTAATTTATTAATTTCCATCGATTCTAATAAATTCAGTTTCATACTTTTATTTTCTATGTGTAGGATTTTAAAGTTAGGATTAAAATTATGGTTTTCATTAATAAGGTGGTTTGCAAAAGTGGAATCTGTTTTTTGGTTTATAAATGATTTTCTATGTTCGTTAATTCTAGTTTTAAAGCAGCGACCTGTTTGTCCTATATACGTTTTAGGGCAATCTGCACAAGTTAATTGGTACACTCCTGATTTATTATTTTTACTTGTCTTATCTTTATTATTTTTAATAAAATTTCTTAAATTATTATTAGTTTTAAATGTGAATTTTATGTTATTTTTATTTAGAAAGGTACACAACTGTCTCATATTAGTACCTAAATACGTAAAAGTATTGTATGTATTTATAGGGTTCTTAGGTATTGGGAATATTAGGTTAATTAACCTAATATTCCCAATACCTAAGAACCCTATAAATACATACAATACTTTTACGTATTTAGGTACTAATATGAGACAGTTGTGTACCTTTCTAAATAAAAATAACATAAAATTCACATTTAAAACTAATAATAATTTAAGAAATTTTATTAAAAATAATAAAGATAAGACAAGTAAAAATAATAAATCAGGAGTGTACCAATTAACTTGTGCAGATTGCCCTAAAACGTATATAGGACAAACAGGTCGCTGCTTTAAAACTAGAATTAACGAACATAGAAAATCATTTATAAACCAAAAAACAGATTCCACTTTTGCAAACCACCTTATTAATGAAAACCATAATTTTAATCCTAACTTTAAAATCCTACACATAGAAAATAAAAGTATGAAACTGAATTTATTAGAATCGATGGAAATTAATAAATTAAAGAAAAAAACTGATATTATTCTTAATGACCAAATAGATACCAATAATTCCCCGTTATTAAACTTATTTTAATAAATTCAAAAATTTTTAGTGTTATATAACTATAGAAATTACAGGGCATCCCCATAGTTATTGTTCCTTTATTGTATAACGTTAATTTAATCTTCCCCAATATTGTACTAAAAATATTACCTGTAAAACCATCATTTATATAAAAGTAAAATAAATATTAGTTTGTATACGATCTGAAGATGCTACAGTGTAGCGAAACAATTGTCATATTTAAATAAAATAGTGAAACTTTTAAACAGTGTAGTTTATATTAAAATAAAACAATATAATGTTTTTTCTCAAAACCAACATTTTCTGAGCTCGAAACCAGTCTGGGCTCAAAAATAATTTTTTTCTCACTTATAACCTTTTTAAACTTGATAATAATAATGATATTAATTTAAAAAAATTAAACTGTTTACTTTTCAATAAATAAATAGTTTATACCTTTAATAAACTTATTAATTGTAATGTTTTTAATTTGAAAATGGCGCCAAACGAATGTATCACAAACTACGCATGTGCAAGAAATACCAAACGGGTGTGGCAGAGGCTTTGAGCTGTGGCAGCCATCTTTCATATCAGAGTTCTTTGTTTGTGCCGGTCTTTTGTAATATTGCCAATATTATATTAGTAGGGTATACTCTGGTATAATACTATAATAAAAGGGATTAGTGTTATAGTTATCTATTTGTGTAATATTAATATGACGCAGGAAAACTTGAACAAGTAAGTAAAATTCTATTACTTTTTTTTAGTTTGTAGCCTTTTTGTACCACAATATAAGTAAACATTTTGTACTTCGTGTAGTTACAAGTAGAATAGGTATATTAAAATAAGTACTATACTGCATAGATAACAAAGCCTTTGCTGTCTTAAAAAAAATTCAATAAGGTTATCATAACCTTGTTATGCAAAATCATGATTTCTCTGACCACCGGTCAGAGAAATATTTAATTGACTTGGTTTGTATCTTTACCGACAGGATTATAAATAATATTTAAAAAATATAACGTAAATATTTTAAGATTAATTTAATTTTGATGTCAATGACAGCCTGTCGTTTGTTTTCCCGCTTTTTACGTAGATTTACCGCATTTTACTTAATTTTTTATTGATCTCATTAAGTTACAAGATGCCCCCCAAACGAAGTCTGTCTAGAAGCTATAACTATAAATTATCCAAAAAAAGAGCAAATGAAGCTGTTAAATTAGCTAAACTTGACAACTTAGTCAATTGTTACGATTTAAAATGTTCTCCCAGTACTTCAAATATTATTATACAAAAAAATGATAAAACTAATAACTTAAATAGTTATAATAGCAGTAGTGATAATAGTGACAATAATAACTTAAATAGTGACAGTGACAATAGTGAATATGAAAGTACAAGTAACTCAAATTACAGTGATATTTCAGACAAACATGAACAAGCATTAAACATTGATCTATTTATGAATGAAAATGCAGAAATTGCAAGTCAATCGAGTGATAGTGATATATCGGAGAAACATAAACAAGCATTAAACATTGATTTTTTAAATAATGAAAGTGCAGAAAATGACTCAATTATTTTTTTAAGAAAATGGACTATAGAACATAATGCAACCCATGCCATGATAACTCCACTTTTAAAATGGCTGAAAACTAATCCTAACTTAAAAAATTTACCATCAGATGCAAGGACTTTGCTAAAAACTTTAAAAACCAATACAATAAAAAATATTAAAAATGGTCAAATTTGCTATTTTGGTTTGGAAAAAAAATTATTAAAAATTATTCATGAACATCCACAATGTTTAAAACTTGATTTGGATTTTAATATTGATGGCCTTCCTTTATATAAAAGTAAAAAAAACAGCATTCTGGCCTATTTTATGTAGAGTTAATAATATCAAAGTAAATGTTTTTGTCGTTGCTATATTTTGTGGGGACGCAAAGCCTTTGTTAGAAGAATTTTTAAATGAATTTGTGGAAGAATTAATATCATTAAAATCAGGAATTCAAACAAACACAGAAAACGTGAAAGTTAATATAAGGACATTTCTTTGTGACACTCCAGCTAGAGCATTCATAAAAAACATAAAGAACCATAATGGATATTACGGTTGTGATAAATGTTGGGTCAAAGGAGAATATTTCAACAAAAGATTGGTTTTTTTGGATTTAAATGCTTCTAGAAGAAGTGATGTAGAATTTAAAAATAAATTGAATGCAGAGCACCACAGAGGTTCGACACCATTGGAAACCTTAGAAATAGGTTTAGTTACTCAGTTTCCTGTTGATTATATGCATACAGTTTGCTTGGGGATTATGAAAAAACTATTATTAACATGGAAAGAGGGCAAAAAAAGGTTAAGGGCTAACAAATTACTAGAAATTGATGATAAAATTAAAAAAATTAAGGATTATTGGCCAACAAATTTTAATAGAAAACCTAGGTCCATATTTGAGGTTGATAGATGGAAAGCCACTGAATTTAGGCAGTTCTTGCTATACCTGTGGTTTTAAAAGATGTTTTGGATCCTGAACTTTATGGGAATTTTTTAATTTTTAAATTTGCATTGACTATTTTGTTATCAGAAAAATTAAATTTAAACCCAGATTTAAATAAATATGCATCTGCCTTAATAATTATTTTTATTAATCATGTTAATAGAATATATGGTAAAGAGTTCTGCAGTTACAATTTACATGCACTCTCACATTTATCTGAAGATGCAAAAATGTATGGATCACTAAATTCAATAAATTGTTTTGTATTTGAAAATTATTTGGGAAAATTAAAGCGGAAGTTGCGAAAGTCAAACTCGCCACTTCAGCAAATTGAAAATAGACTAGCAGAGATGGAAACAATTAATAATGTTCAGTTTCACCAAAAACATTTTGAAATTATAGAAAAAAATATTCCTCATACTATTAGAGACATATTTTCTCAATGTAATTTTTACAGGAAAATATCTCATAATGGAGACATGTACTCAAATAAAAATGGGGATAATGTCATTTTGTTAAAAGATAATAAAATAATTTTAATTAAATATATTTGCAAAAGTGTAGAAACCAATGTTGTAACTTTAGTTGGAATTTTTTTTAAAAAACAAGAACCTTTTTTTAATTATCCAGAAGATTCTTGCATAATAGGAGTTTATAAAGTTAGTGAATTGGACAAAAATTACACTAATTTTTATTTTGAGGAAATAATATGTAAAGGTGTATTAATGCCTTATAATGAATATTTTGTGTTTGTCAGACTTTTACATTTAAATTAATTAAATTTTTAAAATTGTATCTTTATATTTTAAAACTAATACAATGTTTTTGAATCCATAAAGCAAAATTGTTAATATATAATTATGTATGACTAATAAACAACTTGTTTTCAATATTTTAAAACATACAGAAATTTAATATAATAGTGCTGTTAAACCAAGTATTATTAGGTGAACTTAGGGTACTATTAAATTTTGTTAATTATCAAATTAAAATTATTATTAAATATTATTTGAATTTTAGAGAGTTTTACGTTGTGGAATTCGAAGAGGAGGAAAATGCCATAGAAGTAGTCCCAAGAAATTGGCTAATAGATAAAACAACATGCATGTGGCCCAGTTTTTAAAAAAAAACTGAAGAAATAAGGAAGGCTGTTGTAAATAAAAAAGAATTAGAAAAAACGCCAGCAAAATTATTTAAAATTAAAATAAATTTTAAAACAAGTAAGTATTAATAAATTATTGTTATTATAGGTACATATTTATTAAAAATTAGAACAGAAATATTTCTGATATTAAATATAAATTTTATAATAGAGAATAGAGTAAAATGAATGTAAAACCTCCAACTTAATTATATATTTTTTAGATTCATATACAAAAGCTGTAGAAAAACTTAAGCAACTCGAAACAAAATCATCACTATCTCAAAGTGACAGTGATATAATGAGTTTGTTTTAAAAAAAAGAAGTAGAAAGCCTAATAAAAAATACGAAGACACTGATTCAGATTCATCTAACATTTCAAGAAATAAACAAAGTTGGGTTGGGTCTGATTCAGATGATTTAGAAATTATATTGCCGGCAACTCCATCATTAAATAAACTAAAAAGCAGCGCTATTGGGCCTGTGACCACAAATAAAAACTCAAGAAGTAAACAGAGTTACCACCATTCTGATGATTTAATATCAATAATGCAGTCAACACCATCAATAAATAAATTAAAAAGCAGTGATGTGCCTGTAACAACAAATAAAAATTGTCAATGTTCAAAGGAGCTACCAAAAGTACTTGGTAAGTTACTAGCTAACTGTTACCTGGAGCTTGAAAACCTTAACATTTTATTTTAAAATTACATTAAATTTTTTACAATACAATAAATATATTTTTATAGGTTTGCTACAAAAATTGTCCTTAAACCAGGACAAAATTTTGAGGGAAATAACGGTAATAAATAGCAATATTGCCATATTAAACCCCACCGAAGCAGTTATTGATATAGAAACAAAAATATCAACTTCAAAGGAGGAACTTGAACATTTTAACACCAAATTAGCCGATGAAGAATATTTCGCGCAAAACGTTAGTTAAATAAAAATTATTTAAGAACCTGTACTTCATATATTTTGGTTTTAGGTCCGAAAGTTTAAATTAATTGGTGGAAAAGATGTACATGATTCAACAAGAAGGTTCCTTTCAAAAATCCTAACTAACTCTCTTGCTATGAGATACAATTGGAGGGGAAGGCATGACAAGTTTTCATTTGAGGAACTTAAACAAATTATTTTACTTATAGTGGGTAAGTTTAATTTCTTCATTTAATTTTAAGGATTGTAAACTTCAGCTAGTATAATAATAATAATAATAATAATAATAATAATAATAATAATAATAATATTTATTAGTGCTATTACCAAAAGGTTTACAACGTCAGAAAAATACAAATATAAAAATAGTACAAGAAATGTAAATATAAATAAAACAAAGAATATAATAAAATAAGTACACAATTAAAAGGTAAAGTTTAAAAACTCATCAATCGAATAAAATGAATAAATAGTAAAAAAGGATTTTAAAAACAGTTTGTATTCATTAAAAGCCATATTTTTTACATTATTTGGGAGTTTGTTAAAAAAATTAATTCCATAAAAATCAGGTCCACTCTGGCACCTTTTCAGTCTAGAGAATTGATTAATTAAGTTGCCTTTATTTCTGGTGTTATGGTTATGTACACAGTCTTGACTTTTATATAAGTTTAAATTATTTTTTACGTATACCAAATTATGAAAAATAAATAAGGCAGGAAAAGTCATAATTCCAAGTCTTCTAAATTCAGCCCTGCAATCATCCCTATAACCAAGGGAGGCAATAATTCTTATAACTCTGCGTTGCAGACTAAATATTCTATGTGACTCAGAGCAATGACCCCAAACAATTATGGCATACGAAATATGCGATTGAAACAAGGAAAAATAGGCACTAGCCAATACTTCACTGGACACACTACCAACAAGATTGCGAATAATAAATATATTGGTATTCAACCTCTTTGATAGTGAATCTATGTGACTGTTCCATCTTAATTTACTGTCAAACATGATTCCAAGAAATTTAATGGGTTCTGACTTGTTTAAGTCATTAAAATCTCTTAAGGAGAAAATATTGTTCTGTGTCTTGCCCTTGTTTAGGACTAATTGATTCTCGGTGAACCATTTTTCGGCCCGCGACATTGCTCTCTCACTCTTCACCTCCAAAAGCTCAAGATTTTTATCTTTTACTACAATTGTGGTATCATCAGCAAATAGTGTTAAATCCGTCGAGTTACTAATGTTAGATAGGTCATTTATAAATATTAAAAATAGGATAGGTCCAAGAACAGAACCTTGAGGTACCCCCACATTCACAGTTTCCCTTTGACTCAATTCATTCCCAATTTTGCAAACTTGATGTCTATTTGATAGATATGATTGAATTAGTTTTACACTATTTTCAGAAATAGTAAAATTCAATATTTTAAATCCTTTAATTCACAACTTTTTATTTGTATATATTTTTTTAGCTAGTTTAAGGCAAAATTCACTAACAAATGATGTAACCATTGTTCAAGTGGAAAATTCTATTAAAAATTGGTTGAGATTGGCAGGTGATAGGGATGGTGGCAGATCCCAAAGGAAGAAATCTAAATAAGTTTTTTTTAGTTTAGTTTGATTAGTTTAAAAATGCCTGTTAATTTTTTACACATTTATTTAAACGTTTGTATATTACAAGTTTTTGTGTATTTTTTGGAAATTTAGTTTTTTCTTATTAGTGAAAATGAAAAAAATCAACTGTTTTGTCTAGCTACCTGGTATACAAACACTCAAATAAATGTATGGCACATTTTTACATTTAATATATGTGAAATCGTCGACATACTTTAAAGTCTGATTTTTACTATTTGTGAGGTTTTGATATAAATGAATTTTAAAATTATTATTTAACATCCCATAAAGCCTCTCAAGTCTCAAATCCATTATTTAGATTCCGCTATAATGGATTCAAATCTTAGAAGCCTTTGAGGGATGTTGAATAATTAATTTTAATTTATCTATTTTGCGTTTATAATGCCTTCATTATAACAAGAATCGCCGCAACCCTTTTGCGAGATTTCTGAGATTCTTTATAGCAATTTTGGTTTCATAGGTTGGCTTTTCCGAACAGTAAAATGACCAAATTTGAAAATTTTGTAAAAATAAATAAAATAGCAGAACTCATGTCATAAGACGTTTTCTCGCCATTATAATACGCTTACGCATTATAATACGCTCTTTCGTCGGTCGTTTTCTAAATTTGTCCTCGTGCGAATAAAAACCGTCTTATGATATACTATTGTATCACAACCTCACAAATAGTAAAAATCAGACTTGGAAGGTTTTCAAAGTAAGCCGACGAAATGTTCTTTAAAATTTTTGAAGTGACTAATTTTAATTTTTGTTTGTTTTAAGAATATTTATTTATTTATTTATTATTAGTATAATTTATTTTAATATATAATAAATGCGTTTAAAATAATGTTTTTGTTTGAAATGTTTATACCTATTTTCCAAAGAGAACTTGGCTGATGATATAATTACATAATTTCCAATGTTCTAAACGTCAATTGTTATTAATTTAGAAATCTTTAACGACTTTTGGCTAGTCTTCATTATAATTTCAGCGGTTTATGTCGATGTTTGCACATCAATTTAAACCTGTAAAATATTTATACTATTATATTTTACAGGTTTACATTAATATCGTCATATTCCTGCCAAAAGTCACTAACTGATATTTTTAAAAATCTTAAAAGCTATTGTTTATATATCCAAATTTACCATATATGCTTAATATTTATCTTTATAAAAGTTATAACTGCAAATATATTTGCATTTAAGACTTTTACACCTTAAAGATATATATTAGGCATATATGGTAAATTTGGATATATTAACAATAGCGTTTAAGATTTTCAAAAATGTCAATTAGTGACTTTTAGCAGGAATATGACGATAACAAACATCGAAAAGATGCGCATAAATTCGACGTTATACCGACAAATTTTAATACTAATCGGCCAAACGTCGGCAAGAAACGTCGGGCAACCATCATCGCATGATCATCGCCGATGTTTCCTATTGATTAAGGTACGACGTCTATTTCCATCATCGGGCCGACGTAAAATACATCTGCATGCGATGTTTGGCCATAAGTCGGCCAACGTAGCAATGTTTGCTGGGTTACTTCCCGCCATGTATCGAAACTTCACAAGTTCCACGAATTTTTGTCTGTGTTTTTATTCGGAATAATATAGGTATTGACATGAATTAAATTGTAAAACTAAATTAAGAATTAAAAAATATTTTGTTTAAAATAGTATTTCGTTATTGTCCTGTAGGATAATTATTTGTTCATAGACGGATTTGCGTGTCATCGATGATAGGGATTTTTTTTTTCTGATAAAAAAATAAATTTTGATCTACAAAAAAGTTGGGATTTTATCCACAGGGTGTTCAAAAATTAGGTAGTACGATCTATACCTACTACGTATTATTATATAATTATTACGTGATATAAAATCACCTATTGAAAACGTCAGAAAGACGCAACATAAAAACGTCTAAATGACGTCGGAAATGTGACGTCATAAACCCGTCTTTTATTGGTTATGTGACGTCGCCGACGAAAGGTGACCTTAAAATGTCGTCCTAATGACGTAACCTTGCTAGCTGGGAATGTACTTAAATACACAACGTACGTAGAGTCCTAATTTTTATAAAGAAAGTAAATTAACTAGACGATCACGAATATGCCAAAATAAGTATTTCAGTATACTTAAAGAATCGGGTTACGAAAATACATAGTGTACTTTACAATACTTTAAAAACATTAATTATTAGGACCATTAATTAATTAATTAATTAATAAAATTACCCATCTTAACATGTTTTTTTTATTTAAAATTTTTATAATTTTTGGGTGGGGTAGTTTATAAAATAATAAAATAATTTATGTATGTTATAGACTACCCCACCTGTCCCACTACAAATTAATATATTTAATTTATTAATATTATTAATACTCGAAAAAGGACAACTTTGGTGATATGTTAAACGAATATTATAAATATTCCTTAAACCAAAACAAAACACTTTTTCCATGAATGACATTACATTTGGCGTCACTGCTTTATAATCGCCACAAAACACAACTGGGAAATTACTTTTCGAAAATTAAAAATATTAAACAAAATGTAGAAATATTTATTGGAGATATCAACATAAATTTATTAGAAACAGAAAATGCGAAAAACATCGATACTTAATTACCTAGGTATTTTGGGTGAATTCGTATCTTACATTAATAACCCCACCAGGATTAAGGAGTCACAAAAAATATCAATATTAGATCATGCATTTGTCAGGACAAATCAAGAAAGCATTAAAATAACACCGTGTTATAACCGACCATTTTATGCTTTTTATAAATTTTAGTTTCTCGGAACAAATTAAAAATAATCATCAGAAACCTAGCTACTTAGATATTACAAATTTAAATAACTTTAAAATATCTCTAGAAACTGAAATCTGGGCAGAAGTTTTAGATAAGCAAGATCCTGAAAAGGGATATATCATATATGACATATGCAATGCAAAATAAATTTATGCAAAAATTGAATAGGTAGGTATATATTAAAAATAACACTAAATCTAAAGTCAATAGTAAAAACAGAAAAATAAAGCCATGGACGACACAAGGACTGCTCACTTCAGTACGTCATCGTGATCATCTAAAAAAAACAACTAGATAAAAATATTACTATAAAAAAAATGCTGAATATAAACCATATAGAAATTTTCTTAACAATTTAATAAAATCAACTAAAAATAATTTTTATAAGAACGAAATAAAAACTATAAAAAACTTTGGAAAACTATTAAACAAGCTTGCAACCGCGAAAAAAAGCAACAAAAAAGTATCATTTTAAAAGATGAGCATGGTAGAAATTAACAATTTTTTTACCAATGTGAGGAAAGAAATGGCCAGTAATAAAAAAAAGCTAGTGGGTACACATGCAAAATGCAAAAATAGTTCTATATTTTTAAATCCGGTTACAGAAAATGAAAATGTTTACATATATGATTTTAAATTATTTACTATACTATAGTATAGTAACTATAGTAAATAATTTAAAATCGAATTCCTTTCCTGGACCCGATAACCTTTTCTGTGCGCCTTATAAAAACCTGTCATGTTCATCTTTTAAAACCGCTTAACCATATTATAAACTGTTTTTCATTAGGTTTAACTCCAAAACAATTTAAAGCGTCAATTTCAATTCGGATTTATAAATCTAGTAAGAAAACACTTCCTACAAACTACAGACCAATCACCCTTATAAATAATTTTTCAAAAATCTTTGAGCATTGCCAGTGTTACGGGCGGATCTAGAATGTGTCATTGGGGGGGGCGGAGTTGAAAATTTTTGTAAATAATAAGAAAGTTGAAATTTAAGTTATTCCATTTTTTTATTATTTTCTATATTAATTTAAAAAGTTATGTTCAATTTCAACTTGATAACTTACTTCCGGGGGGGGCGATCGCCCCCATCGCCCGCCCCTTGGATCCGCCAATGGTGTTACCAGATTCTTTCAAAAAAAGACCGTACGTTTCGTTCGAATTTCCCAGCTTAAAATACCCCATAGAGACCCTGCTCAAACCGATAGATATTTGTATCGGGATGTATGGTGTTTCTATAGGGTGTATCGGTTTGTATAGGACCCATAGTTGAGATTTATGGTTGTTCTATAGGGAATCCACCCTTGATTTATTTGCTATCGGTTTCAATGGGGAAAATACACATAAATGTAGAAATTAGTTTTTCCCCTATAGGACCCCATAGGTTTTAATAAAATTTTGTCAAATGTTCTATGGTTGCTCTATAGGGATATCCCTATATATCCTTCATTGAGTTATTTGCTATCGGTCTCAATAGGGAAAATGTAAAAGATATGGTGTGCCTATAGGTAATTTCCTATACATTTTCTATCATTTCTACCATGGACAAATGCACATATTGAATCCGGTAGCGCCCGATAGATTATTTTGTACCTATAGGTCTCTATGGGGTATTTTAAGCAGGGTTACCTTAATTACAAAAATGACTCAATGGACAATATTAAATAACGTCAACTTGACATAATTGCATTTATTTGCATTGTTTCATTGTGTCATTTTGTAATTAAGGTAAATTCGAACGAAATGTACGGTCCTTTTTTGACAGAATCTGGTAACACTGAGCATTGCCCAAAATCTAGGCTATACAGTGTGTATTATCTAGACTGTACAGTGTGTATTAAAACGAATAGATTCACTTAAATAAAACAAGTGCCAAACCCCGCCCACTGTGGTAGGGATTGAATTCGTTTGCTTGCCGTATCATTGTCGTTACGACAATGTCGTATGATCTGTGCGTCTGACGCACTGCGTCAGTTTAAGAAGTGCACTGAGACTTTGCGTACGTCTTCGTAAGAATAAAAAAGTATTTTCTCAAATAAAATTGTTTTTACCCGTGACGAAAAATACCAAATTATGGCATGGCATCGCACTGGTAGATCGTATCGCCAAATACAAACTTTATTTCAAAATATGTTTCAAAATAGGCCTTTACCCAGTGTAGCTACAATCCGGCTGCATGCCGCGCTGTTGCCATATGCTATTATTGTTTCCTAAAAGGGTTGTTTTTCTTATTTTTTTTTAATATTAAAAGAAAGAAAATTAACTAAATCAAATTATTTTTGACATATTATTAATTTTTTTGTTATTTTTAAAGTTTCAAACAAATAAAATTAAACTATTTATTAAATAATTATAATCATTCTCTTCTGATTTAAAACAACCTGGCAACTATGGTTCGTAATTACGAATGGCTTGGTTTAAACCACCGCTGTTGCTAGTGCACCGCATGCGGTGTACTATTCTGCACCGCCAAATTATATAATATTACGTCATA